CGTTAGCTTTCCATATGTGAGTCTGAATGCGGCTGCGTGATGTTTTTAGCGCAGACTACTCCTAGAGCCTAAGGTAGACTCAAACTTGATATGAGTTGGCCCTCCATCTTGACTTCAACGCCTGACATCATCCTTCTAGCCTCTCTTTTTGGTCTTCTCCATAGTTTCTAATTATAATTAAATCATTGGTTAGTATTTTATCAAAATCACATGAAGAAATACTTAGGAATGAGCTCACCTGTTATTGCAATTTATGAATGCGAGCTCTAGTGATTGGACCTTTCATGACAACTTAGAGAGTTTTGTGTGTATCCAAAGCAGTCATATGTTCTCATCACTAGTTTAACTCAAAGTGAAATTATCTTCAGATTAAATTAATTACATGTACCATGCATATATTTTTCTAGCTTGCAGTACTGGTTTCCCACAGTTAGTCACAATGCCATGTATTTATGTTTGCTTTGAATGTTAGGGAAAGGCTCTGCTTCAGACAAAACCGATGATTGAAAAGGCCATTAAAAAAGTACACACTGCTCTTCAACCAATGATGATACTTGTAGCTGACCTAGGATGCTCCTCGGGGCCAAATACCCTAATGTTTGTCTCTCTCTACCATGATTAGAGAGATCGCTGAATATTATAACAGGATCGGTCAGTGCCCCGTGGATGTTCAGTTTTTCCTGAATGATCTACCTAGCAATGATTTTAATCACCTGTTTAAATCTTTAGAACAGATTGATAATTTTGTTGCTAAAGATCAAAACAGACAAGCAACTACACTGCCTCAATACTATGTTGCTGGATTGGCAAGCTCATACTATAGAAGGCTCTTCCCCAAAAATAGTGTTCATCTGTTCCACTCCTCGTATGCTCTGCACTGGCGATCTAAGGTAATCAGACAAGCTTATCACAGTTAATTGCAGATGTCCAGGTGAAGCATACTTTTAGAGTAGTGCATTTAGACATCAATCTCATTTGTATTTAGCCTTTTGAGATATATGCTTTACTAAAATTGTAGTATTTGTTTTGAATTTATATATGAATATATACACCTTGGCCATCGATATAGATCATGCAAGAGTATTGATGAATAATTTACCTGCTATCGCCAGATCTTGTCAAAGGAGCATTTTTTTGGGATATATTCTAAATGTTATTTTTATTTGGTTTTACCATAAATTTTGATCATAGTACTAGCATTCAATTATTGAGATAACTAGGTGAAACCCCGCGCATTGCTGCGGGAATTTAGTATTATAACAATAAAAAAAATAACGTGTAAGATAGCTATGATAGCTAGATAACACCAGATTAAGTAAATTAATGTGGTTTATGATAATTTAAATTTAAATAGTATGTAGAATGGTGATTCAAACGTAAAAAGTAAGGTGGTATGATTTTATAGAAGAAGAAAAATAGGGAGATAGTTTAGGTGTGTGGACCATAGATTAATCATCTAAAGGCTAAAAACAATTGATGGGATATGACTTAATTAGAGGGAAAAAGGAGAAAGATAATCTGGACCATAGATTAATCATTTAAGCACTAACTAAGTGATGATGAACTATATAAGTATATAGGATATCATAAAACATAATAAAGATGTATATTGAAACATTATGTGAATTATGTTGGATGATAATTTAACATGTTTGTATTTGAAAAGCTCTTAAATTATAAAAACTATAAAGACATAGCATGTTTGCATGATGTTTAAATGTGATGATTGTTAGTGGATGATGATGTGGCATCTTGTTAATTAGTAGATTAGTGAATGATGATGTGGCATCTTGTTAGTGGATGATGATGTGGCATCTTTGCATGTTAAGCTTAAGTAGTTAGTGGGGGATAACTTTATAGTAAGATAGAATAAGTTGGGACTTGTTATCATACTTTTTCTTTCACCTATGATATAAAAAGAGTAAATTTCACTTTGGCCTACATTTGTGACCGATGTTTCACTTAATTTGGATCACCCTTCAATTAATGCTTTCACTTTGGACTGAGTAATTTTACCTTTGTATTACTTTGGACTAACCTGACTCTTTTTCGAGCATATATATGAATGATCTCAAGTACATCGGCTCCTACTCGTCAATAAACTCTCACAGTTATACGCAATACCATTTCTTTGGCATATGATAAATTGGTTGTAGATAGATAAAAGAGTTAAGGGTGGTTGAAAGTGCCTCAAAGGTAAAAATACCTGATACAAAGGGATAACATAGTTTAAAGGGTGGTCCAAATCATAAACAAAAACTGATGTAGTAAATGCGTATATCTTGTATATGCAGGCATGAGATATAGATAACTGTTATTATTGAGGGATCAAAATTGCTGTTAGCACTATAGCAAAATATCAAGATTTTGTTCTTCATATCCAGATGTTCGAAATGAAAAATATAAAGGAGCCCCTGAACGAAGGCAATATTTACATCTCCAAGACTACACCCATATCAACAGTCAAGTTATATCAGGAGTTATTTGAGAAGGATTTCTCAAATTTCCTCGAGTTGCGCTCAAACGAACTTATATCTAGTGGTCAGATGCTACTCACTTTCCTTGGAAGGAAGAACGAAGATGTATCTGATGGAGATCAATGTACTCTTCATGTATTAATTTCACGAGCAATACAATCTCTTGTTATGGAGGTCTACACAATCCATATTACTCATGATATATTAATTACTATACATTGTCATATATATATCTAGCTAGATTCTTCAATGAATTAATGTGCTTAATTTCCACTTTCAACACATTAGGGTCTGATGGAGAAGAAAAAGCTTAACAACTTCAACATGCCGGTCTACATGCCGTCAACGCATGAAGTGAAAACAATCATCATGCGGAGCAAGCTGTTCATCATCAACCAGATCCAACTCTCTGAATCAAACTGGGATCCTTACGACGATGACTTAGAAGGAGAGGTTGTGCTCTACCCGGCGCAAAGCGGGTTGAATGTCGCGAGGTCTTTGAGGCCAGTGTTGAGGCGGTTGTTCACTACCTATTTTGGGGAATCGGTTCAAGATGTTCTCTTCTTAAGGATTGCCAGTAATGTAAGCAAATACCTTGACAAAAGGAAGGGAAAGCACAATGTCATTGCACTGTCATTGGCAAGAACATATGGAGATGGAGTGCTATAGATGATGATGATCTGGCTGGTACATCTTACTTCCTATGTTTCATATTATAAGTTCTTTTCTAATCAAGTTTGGTTAAGTTTGACTAAGTTTGTAGAAAAAATTAGCAACATCTAATATATTAAATTAGTTTCATTATATCTAACATTGAATATATTTTGATAATATGTTTGTTTTGTGTTGAAAATACTACTATATTTTTCTCTAAACTTGATTAAAGTTAAAAGAAGTTTAACTAGAAAAAAAGTTAAATGACTTATAATATAAAACGGATGAAGTAACTATGTTAGTGGCCAGAATGACGATTTTTGGCTGGTTTGTCGTTTGTGCCAATCTGGGCAGAGGTGGAGACCCCACAGTTTCAAAATTTGCATTGTATTTACTGGAGTTTGAACAAAATCTGAAAAAAACTAAAGTATTGGCTTCGTTCAATCGAATATTTTTAGTGGTCCTGTTTCCGCCGCTGATTCTGGCTATTTTGATCCATACATATTCCATTTTTTTTTCCTTTTTAGTGATTATTGCAAGGCTCACATGCACAAATTTATGTGACATCAAATTTGATCATAAAAAGTATAGGTTCTACGATGAATTTGGTTTATTCATGGATGATACAAGTTCCATGACAAAATTTGCTGATTCGTCGTGACTAAACGAATGTCACGCTCCGTTTTTTACGAACACGTACGAATACGTCACAGAAATTTTCTTATGACGAATTCGTCATCGACCATGACATTAAAGTTTTATCATAGATATGCACATTTCTACTAGCGACTACAAGCTGCCACCAGCCCACCACCACACCTCTGAAACATACGTCGAGCACCTTGTGTGCGTGCCCAAAGCACTACCAGTTCAATGTACATATATGACGGCTAGATTCCTGATCAATTATTTCCGATCATACCATATCGCCGTGAAGACCCTTCTTTCCTCCCACGCATGGCCGCCATGCACCGGCGAAACTAGGAGTTTGCCGTCGCGCCAACCCATTTGGAAAAGGAAAAATTGGAACCATGCCATTATAATTTTGTAAAATTTGTAAATTTAAGATATGACATGCTGACCCACATATCATTGACTCATGTGGATGCTACATATCATTGAGATACCGATGGCATATCTTAAACTTTGTATAATTACAATGGCATGGTTCCAATTTACCCTTTGCAAAATCAAACCAACTCTCACAGGCGCAATATGCTCGTGCGCTAGGTTGAAATTAGGCTGTTTGGTTGGCTCTCAAAGGTTGCTATATCAAACGTTAAGCATACCATAATTTGTTAGTATAGTATTTGGTTAGTTGCCACACCTAAATCATGCCTCACTTTATAAATTATTGGGCCTGCACGCCATATACTCAAATTCTTGCCAAACTTAATTATACTTGTGGCTAACAAATTGCTAGTCTCACTTTGTATGGCATAACACACTTGTGACAGAGTGAGGTGTGGCAAACTTAGTCATCAACCAAACAACCCGTTAAAACCTATGATCCGAGTCAGCTCTGCGCATGTCGTGTCGCCGTCGCTACAGTGCCTTGCGAGGGCCATATGCCATCACTGTCCTGTCCGGTTTGTCGTGGTCGCCTCGTCGACATGCCATTGCGCGTGCAGACGGCGCCATGCCGTGCCTGTGCCGCTCGTCATGCACAACATGTGCGAGAGAGGGCGAGATGGAGAAGAAACAGATGGAATGGGAGAAGTTGGCATGACCCCACTTTTGTCGGCCTCCCTGGTTTTTTTCCTCTGAGAGATAAATATCATGTGGAACCACCTGTCAGTGGTGGCAATATTTTGATCTTAGAAAAATAAATCAAGAAATCTATATACCTAATAAAAAAATAAGGTAAGGTAAGGTTCCTAATAAAAGTTTTTGTCCGGCGTCCATCGCAAGCGGAATCACCTTCAGTAATCGGTTTATTTTTACAATAATCAATATTTTTGGTAATCACATCCGTTTCCTAATCTGCAAATCTGCAAAGCCATGCCCACCATCAAACCCAAATAAATACGGTAATCAGTTTTTTTTAGTAATAACATTTGTTCATGATAGCATCAAGTTTTTGCAACCGTCGGCTTGTTTGGTTTTAGGGTTTATTGTTTGGTCCACGTTCAATTTAAGATTGTTTTTTAATTCATGTTTATTTCTTGTCAATTGAGGTATAATTTCCCTGGTAATTATGTTATACTTAAGTTTCATGTACTTAATTTCCCCCCTTTTATTTTCAAGTTCTGATCTAGCGTAATTAAGGCTCAATATCTATGTAAGTTGCATCTTGCCTTTCAAATTCATGGCTTGAGTAGCACTTAGAAGTAGGGGATCACGAATGGGATTGAAATCAAGCAAATTTCCAATATTCCCCAAATTCAAAACCCAAAACTTTAGTTTTCCTCAAATCCGAAATCCTAATTTCATTTCCCCCAATATCAAGAACTCTAACCTCCTAAATTAGACAATCCCGAACCCAAAAAAACCCCAAATTGATCAAATCTTGAAACAATTAGGGCCTTTGCTAACCGAATTAGGACTTACGGATCGTCCAAGATAACTACACGAGGCATGAGCTATGTCATCATGCGCATCTCCGATATCCTCCTCCGTTATCATGCGGGTGATGTGCTACTTCAGCTGCGCCGTGTACCGGCCATATTTCGCCGCCTGGACAATCCCGCGCATGCCTGACTTGGCCGTGTGACAATGAGGCTCGCCTCTTCTACAGCCTCAACCACACCAAGGAGGAGAACCATGGTTGGGGAGCGGACCATTGACCTCAGGCCACCGTGCGCCATCGCCGCCGTCGTCATCACCTTGACATCGCTGTCCTTTGTGCATATGGGCACCCTGCTCGGGTAGACTTGGTGATGTCGACTCACGGCGCACTATCGGCTTGACCTTCGTATCCGTGCACGGCCTAAGCCCGCCACACACAGGCACGCCGTTGCGAATCATCGCCACCGTCGCCTAGCTCCCTTGCTCACACCGGAGAAATCGGGGAAAATGGGAGAAATGGCCTAAGATTAAGGTTTTTCAGAAAACCCTGCTTCCATGATCAGTTTGAAGCACCCTGCAGGACTGATTTATTAAAGTTTAACCATACAAACAGAAAACTAAGCGCACAACTGTCATGTAAACTTTTGAAATATTTTGTAACGTAGTTTATGCTGCCATCGAAGGATACTATGGAATTTCACCCTAAAATATGACCTGTGTACAAGGAGATTTTTTTTAGATAATGTGTACAAGGAGATATCGGCTAAAAAGAGAAATATGCTCATAATCTGGAGTGATTTGTAGCTTTTCCTTTCTTTTATTTTTGGGGGAGTAAAATATGTCAAAAATAGTTTAGGGGCCGGTCAATTGTAAAAAAAGTAAATAGATTGAGGTAGTTTTTTTTTTCTGGCGACCTAACCCATTATAAAAAAATCAGCGACTTACGTAAAATGTATAAATTAAGCGCGCTGCTATTTAACGGCGACTGATGGCGGAAACATGAATTAGAGATTTTTTTTTAGATAATGGAACTTTTTATTGAACTTAGACTAGATCGCCATCCATATTCCTGGGTAAAAAACAAAGACTAAATTGCCACTCATGAACAACTCATTGGCCATTTCCTCTAAAAGCACAGAGTTTTAAGGGCCACCAATTCTAAGACTAGATCGCCATCCATATTCCTGGGTGAAAAACTTCTTAACCATCTTCTCCAAATATTGACATACCACAACTACCATATCCTGCGAACCAGGCAACCAAACTTCTATAGGATAGCCTATGTACGAAGCCAATGGATAAGAGAATATATAACCTTCAAATGGATGTGAGGATACTAATTAAAAGTCATGGAGGAAGCCTAAACACTGTATGGCCTAATCAGTTTGATGATTATATGTGAGAAAAAAAATGCTGGATCGGAGGGCCCAAGCTACTGATCGTTCCACCCTGCAGTCTCCGCCACTATGGAATGTACCTCGTTGCTGTCTAGCTGCCTGAAGCATGTGGATCACACGCCACAAAGTTTATATGTGGATGAGATTTTTTTCAGGATTATAATCTTGGGAGTGTTGCAAATTAATGTCATATATATATGGACCATATGTGATAGCCCTTAATTTTCGCACTTTTCGGTGGTAGAGATTGATTGTCCTGAATGCGGACAAACACAGCAGCAATATATACGTGGGGAAACAACAATTAATTACCATCCCACTTTGTAAATATATATTTGTATATATATCATTAATTGTTGTAGGCGTGATAAACGTGTACAATCACCATTTGCATCTATAAATATAATGGCACCATGATTTCTATATCTATATATGCTACTTGTGTGTTGAACCTCCCAGTTGTATACACTCCTAAAAAGAAGTTATTAGGTCTCCTCCTGTATCACATTATCCACACTCTTAGTCTTAGCTATATGGAAATTGACTTTGGCATGGTTGAAGGGGACGGAGAAAATAGCTATGCGAAGAACTCGAAGCTTCAAGTTAGTACACACTACACACTAACTCTGTTTCTTTGAGAAATTGCAGATTCATTTCAGTAGATATATATTATATATATTTATAGGGAAATTTACTTTTAATTCGGTATATTATGTTGATTTGATTTGTCTAAATTGGGCTACACATATTTGTATTTTCTTGGATCAAGTTGTTTCGTGAGGACTTCTGTCTATATTATAGTAAAATTTTTCAGTCCTTCCGAAAGTCTCAAGGTAGTTTCCTCTGGTACCAAATATTGGATGGTAAAATTGCTCAAATTTTATACTAAAAATTTTGGTATCTCGATACACCTACTACCTGATACTACAAAATATGGTACATCCCTTAAGGATGGTAAAATCACTTTTATATGCATGCAAGTCCAATGTAAAATCAAACATCATGGTTCTGGGTGAAAAAAAAAACTAAAAATAGAAAACATGCATAAGCTAGGTTTTGTTTAGATAAGGGATTTTCATTAATCCGGCCACTATGCCCACGAGGGGTATACATATCCAAAAAGGATACAAGAGTATTTAAACTCACACCTCAATAGAGAGGAGAACACAAACCCAAAAAATGAAAAACCTACAACCTCTGCATATCCCTGTATCCCGACATCCTCTAGTGAACAAAATTGACGAGTGGAAGTTGTCTTCTCATCACCGCCCCTAATGCGTTCTCGCTGCTAATCTCCACTGGTGCCATCTTCATCCACTTTAAGTGAACCGGTGCCACACGCCACCGGGTAGCCCACCTTCATCCATCGTCGTCCAGTCAGAACTAGCCGACCAAATGCGAGATGAAAGGATATGCTTATGCTTTGCCGGATTCCTAAGCCTTTGCAGCCGATAGGGCCGTTGCCAACGTTGGAATCCTCTACTACCTCTCGGACTCTCAGCCTGCCGCCACCTCTACCGGCGTCCTCTGCCGTGGTGATCGAGCATATCATCTTTCGTCCGGACACCCAGGCCTCCACCACCCCTAGGGCTGCCATCACCGACGAGATCCACCTTCGCCTGTACCACCTTGCACCAGTCCTTATGCCGCCGCCGCCCCTAAGACCGCAGCTGCCGTAACTAAGGAGATCGCTGCTCGGACTCGCAGGCCGTCGCGGCCTCTAGGGTCGCAGCTGCCTACGACATCACCTTCATCGGAACGGCCTTCTCCTTGCTGAGGACTGAGCATCGAAGCTTAGGCCCCCTGCTGTCCTCCGCTGCACCCGCTGTCCTCCGCTACACCCGCCGCCGCAGAGACGTCGCGGCCGACCCGCTGTGACACCGCCTCCCGACCCCTCCGCTGCCGCATGCCAATCTCGGGTTCAGCCACTGCTGCTGTCCAACGCTTGCGCCTCCATCCCTCCCAACAACCTCCGCTGGCACGCGCGGCCTTGACCACCACTGCCCATGGCCCCTCCGCCTCCCACGTCGCTAGATTTGGGGGCTGGAACCCGCAGACCCGACACTCCCCTCCGCCGCACCGAGGTCTCCTCTGGAAAACCCCGTCGCCGCTTTCCTCACAGCTGCACTGCTCAGGTGGTGGCAAGGCCATGGGAAGAAATGAGATACCAGATATGGGGAAAAAGCCGAATCAGGCCAGTAGTATGACCATATAAAAAGGGTTAATTGGATGGATGTCATTGCAACTTTACTATTTTGAAAGAAATGTTACTACTAGTCGAGTGAAATCTATTAGTATGTGCTACTCCCTCTGTATTTTAATGTTGACACCGTTAACTTTTTGACCAATGTTTGACCATTCGTTTTATTTAAATTTTTTATGCAAATACGAAAATATTTATATCATGCTTCAAAGAATATTTGATGATGAATCAAGTCACAATAAAATAAATGATAATTACATAAAATTTTTAAATAAGACGAATGGTCAAACGTTGGATAAACCACTCTTCTCAAAGACCTGCTAATCTCCCCCCAAAGCATGTAATGAGAATAAAACATGCAAAAGAAATTGAAAATTCATTTCAGTAGATCAGAATGTGCCAAAAAAAAGTGAAGCCTTTATCTCAGTAAAGCCGGGCGTGAAGCCTTTGATCTAAAAAAAATGTGCAAAAAAAAAACAGATCTGGTGTGGTTTCTTTCTTTCCTCCAGCAAAATGTAGGGAAAAACAACCATGGATAAAATCGTTCGCCGTTTGCTGAAGAATTGAAAGCCCTAGAGTTCTTCCGTGGCGGCGGCGACAAAAGAATGCGTGCTTGTGCGGCAGGGGAAGAAATTGATTGTTTTGCTGACCTTAACGTATTGTTGCCTCGGCTCAGCTCGTGTCGTCTTGCCGGCATCCGCTCACAGCACGGATGAAGAACTGCACATCAAGAAGCTCAAGAATGACAAATGGGGCGGTATAACTTGATTGCTGGCCCGTGATAGCTCGCCGGCGTCTATGCACGGAGGCAACTCTTGCCACAGGAGGCTTCGCGCAGCCGCCGCAGGCAACAGGGCCTCCATGTGCGGCGATGGAAGCTCGTCGGAGTCCAGGACAATGACTCAAGGAGTGTGATGTGGAGGAGGGGACGGGGGATGAGGGCAGAAGGGGGTTGGGGAAGAGGGGATTCCTAGAGCATACCTGATGGAAGTCCTCGGCCGGAGACTCGGCGAGACTGGATGGAGTGCCGCTTCCGCCAAAGGAAGATGCAACGGGGATGCGGCCGGCTAGCGGCGAGCGGCCGCGGCGGCGGCGGGTGGCGATTCGGTCCCGATAACTCTTGAGAATCTGGACGAGAATAGGAGGTGTCATACACACGTATTGGTCCCCCCCCCACAACAACCCACATACGAATCTTCAGGTGGGCCAGCGCTGTATTTCGAGCGTGCACTCAAAATAAAGAAAATACGATCCTAAATTCCTAACATCTCCGTATACTATTTGACGCACGAATCTTTAAACCATCGTGTGGTTTCTAGCCTAGGTGCCGCAGCACCTAGGTGCTAAAAATACTTTCCGAACTATCTCCTCCTTCCGCACGGCCGCAAGTCTCCAGTAGATCGTCGCCATCGGCTTCTCACAGGCACAGCTCGCCTCGTCGCGGAGCTGCAGGGAGACACCTGCCACGCCACCAATGGTTGCCGCACGCATGGGGTGGCGACCCGCCGCCGCCGCCCGAGCCGTTCTTCTTCGCGAAGCTCGCCACCTGCGCCCAGGCCCAGCACACTACGTACGACGTGGCTCGCGCGCCGGAGTGAAGCTGTAGCTAGCCATCACTAGACTAGAAGGCACGACGACATGTACTCTACCCAACGGCACGAACAGCTAGCACCAGCATGACGCGCTCCTTGTAGACCCGAGAAGTTGGTGCTGCCGCACGCCAGCACACTCGCCATGCCGATCGAACGTCGACTAATCAAAATTGACCAAGAAACCATCCACAAATTCAACAAATAAGTGGTAGAAATTGAAGCAGTTCTTGCGTGCGATCGAGAGGGGCGTTCGATCGACCATTACATACGAGAAGCTAGGGAAGCGCCGGCAGGGGGAGCTAGCTTGCCGCATCCACACCACGTTCCCGCGCGCAGTACGCCGCTGGCCACCAGCTGCCCGCGCCTGCTCTCGCCCTTCTTGCCGGAACCAAGAAGCAGCCACCAGCGGCACGAACAGAGCTTCTCCATGGCCATGGGATTGGGGGAAGGGGACAGAAATTGTGACGGCAGTGACGTACGGTAGTGGTATGTTTTCAAATTTAGAAAATTTTGATGGCACGTAGTAGGTTTTCGTTAGTACCGATGGTATTTTTTCTAGAAAATATATAAGAAAAAGGAAAAGGTGTAACTAAATTTATAGAAAAAAATAGTAACATCTACGACACCAAAATAGTTTTATTAAATTTAATATTGAATATATTTTGATGCAATTTTTGTTTCGTATTGAAAATGTTACTATATTTTGCTACAAACTTGATCAAACATAAAGAAGTTTGACTAAGAAAAAAAATCAAACAACTTATAATATGAAACAGATGGAGTAGTTTGTTTACTAGTATGCAACTGTTAATTCCAAACAATTTAACTTGATTTAATATAATGTGCACATGAATTTTAGGAGAAGACTTTGGTTGCTACTAAGCCTATGATTCAGAAGGCCATTCAAGAACTATACTCTGCAGTTCTTCCTAGGACGATGCTTGTCGCTGACATGGGCTGTTCTTCGGGACCAAATACACTAAACTTTATCTTCGAGGTGATAAAAGCGACCAGCGAATATTGTCAAAGGATAGGTCACCGCCCTGTTGTTTTATGAATGATCTACCTGGCAATGACTTTAACTACCTATTTAAATCTTTAGAACAACTAGATAACTTGGTCGCCAAAGATCAAAACAGAGAAGCAGCAATACTGCCTAAGTACTATGTTGTAGGCTTGCCAAGATCCTACTATACAAGAGTTTTCCCTGACAAGAGTGTTCACCTCTTCCATTCATCTTATTCCCTACATTGGAGATCTCAAGTAAGTCTGTCTCTGAAAACCTATCCCAGTTGAGTGGTAACTCATTAAATAGGCCATGCATTTTTTTTTACTGATCGAAAGAGTACAAATAAACTGGTTATTAGTTGCTAAAGATTTCTACTGAATTCTAGTATTCTACAACAAATAAAGTAGTTATTTCTATATGTACATTTTGTAAGTTCCCATCGATTATATACTCCCATAATTTGTCGCTTTTTTTGAGAAAATAATTTCTCTATTCACTCAATTCATACAACATACAAAACAGTGATATTATGAAAGTAGTAAAGTGAATGCATTTTTTGCTGCAATGCATGAGATATCCAAAAAGAGAGACCGCATTTTCTGTACCAGCATTAGGAGTTCATAGCACCAATAATTAATATGTGTTTATATCTTCCACTGCTTTTGTGCACAGATGTTTCAGGAGAGCAACAATGGGGAATTCCTAAATGAAGGGAACATTTACATCGCCAAGACTACCCCTAAATCGGTGATAAAGCTATACCAAGAGCTATTTTACGATGATTTCTCAAAGTTTCTTGAGTTGCGCTACCAGGAACTTGTGTCTGGTGGTCAGATGGTGCTTAGTTTTCTTGCAAGGAAGAAAGATGACCTATATGATGGAAACCTAAGTGTTCTTTACGGATTAATCTCACAAGCATTGCAATCTCTAGTTATGGAGGTACACTAAACCACTAACCCTACTAATTACGAACTAGCATTATACACTCCCATTTTCCTATAGCTTAACTAATTTCTATATTGGTGGATATGGAAGCCATGAAATTTAGAGGTCCGTGTATATATGAACATACACACATTTTCCAATTCAAAAAAAAAAACTTTGGGCTTTCCTCAGGACATATTCTGTAAAAAGAAGATTTTCAAACCAATTTGATTAATTGAAATGACAATTTACTCAGGACAATGCAGATTTGTTTCAATCTAAAATGAGCCACTTAGCACTTACTACTATTTTTTTAAAAAAATGGATTAAAATCCGGTCTCTATATCCAAACATTATTACACCTTGTTTTCTACGCTGATACTTCACATTTCCAGTCTTATGTACAGGATGATTGGTTGATAGCAAGAAGAGTGTTATAAAATGAACAATACATATTATTTTCCTCGCCTGATCAGTATATTATAAACAGAGTCTCTAAAATGAAAGAACTTGCTTTCTGCTTTCAACATGGCAGGGACTCGTGGAGAAGGAAAAGCTTGACTCCTTCAACATTCCAAATTACGAGCCATCTATCCATGAAGTCAAAACAGTGGTGATAAGCAGCAAGCTTTTCACCATCAACAAAATTTACGTCTTTGAGTCGAACTGGGATCCTTATGACGACTCATCAGATCAAGGACAAGCAACTAATATTAATCCTATCAAGAGTGGCTTGAACGTCGCCAAGTGCATTAGAGCTGTGCTTGAGCCGTTGATCGCTAGCCATTTTGGAGAATCTATACTAGACGTGCTCTTCTCTAGGTTCGCACGTAATGTCACCCAGCACCTTGAGAAAAGGAAGGGAAAGCACAGCGTCATTGTGCTGTCGCTCAGCAAAAGAAAGAATTAATCACAAGAGCGGATGGAGCATGAGAATTTAGCCGTTAATTTCCTCTTATTTTGATTTGTAATGGTGGTAATGGCCTGGTCATTGTGTAGTTTGTGCTTGTTCAAGCCTTTTGTGTGTTCTGGAATGCACCATAGTATTTTGTAGTTTAATAATTCTTAAATTTAGAATTAATAGGTATTGAGCTGTATCTGTGTTGGAATTTGCTTGTATTATATTGTACAAGGAAATATCATTTCTCTAAAATTAATGATTATCCGGTTGTACCTAACATGAACTGCTATTGTTTTTATCTCAATCATATTCATCTAATATTTTTTTCTTTCTTTTTTTTTGAATTTCCGTTAGTTTGTACGTAGTAAACTTAATTACTTTCCATGGCTATTTAATTAGTCTGCATATAATCTTTTTGTCAGACTTTTACAGGAGAAATCTGAATAGGAATGCTAGCAAAAACGTCATGTGTATTATCATATCAGACATATAGAAGTTTTTCTGTGACTTCTACGTTGGTAAAAAATCAGATTACGCCTCTATCAAGCCCACATTTAAGGAAACGAAATGTCGTACCGATATCCGACCTAGTAAGTAACATTGATTTTAGCGTTTCTCTTAATCCGTTAATCGAATTTGAATGAAACAAGCCACATTACAACGACGAGGACAGTGCCTAAAATTTCTGTTTAGACTACATAACCCAATTTCAAAACATTTTTTCAGCATACTGGTTGATAAATTAAAATCTGAACGTTTGACTATCGAATCAATTTCTATTCATTTTTTATACGAACAGGGATGAAAAGTGTAAGATCAATCTGTGTTTTGATTCTTATTCTGTGTTAAACAGTTGGCATCTGTGATTATTGGTTTTGATATTTGCAGATTATCGTCGAAGTGGTTTTGGAGATAATCAATTTTCAGGTGATGAACATGGTTTACTGTTTTGTTGGGACCGGTCAGACCGGGCGGAGGTTGCCGGTCAGACCAGCTCATGTGTAGTGGTCAGACTGGCCAGGCCCGTGGTCTGACCGGGCAACGCTGTGTCGGTTTCGGTTTCGGGTTGTTTCTTTGGATATCCGTGATTGTTTCAAGGTTATGGCTTTTAGATGGATACTATACGTATGTAATACTGTTGTTTGCTAATAATGAGTCAAGTGGGGGATAGTTTGGTCTCGAAATATAGTTTCTTTGTTTGTTTCATGTGTAGGTGACTCGATGCCTCGGGAGAGTATTTGTGGTGATGGACCGGGAGTCGGATTGGTGGTAAGACGATGTCCGTGATGGTCAGATATCATGCGGGATACTAAGACTAGAGTTGATGCACGTGGTTGGTGAAAATTCCAAATGGCATACGATAGAGGTATTGTGTGCGTATGGGATGCGGAGTCGAATTTGGAAGTAGTCCAAATTTGGTATGATTGGTTATGTAAAGTTTGTGTCTTGTACTAGAGGGTTTCCTAAGGTGTTTAGGACTCTTAGTATGAGTTTGGTTCGTGGCTTTAGGCTGCCTACCTCATGTATAAATATAGGGGGAGAGTGAGGCTTCCCGGTATCGTTTTTGAGAGCAATTGAGTTACTAGTTTAGTTAGGGTTTCGAGTTTAGTCGAGATTTTTGTAAGGAGTGCTATTGGTGCACTTTGTAAACACAGAGAGAAGCAATAAAGTTATCATCTACTTTAAGAGTTCTTCGATTTGTGTTTCATCGGGTTCGGCGGTCTAACCGGCGACATATCGGCGGTCAGACCGGCGGCAGGCGGCGGTCAGACCGACGGAGGAGAGGCGGTCAGACCGGTGGTGACTTCACACGCGGCAGGCAATCTTTAGGCGGTTGGACCGGCGGATCAACACCGGTCAGACCGGTGGCACGAGCTCGGTCAGACCGGCGGATCAACCTCGGTCAGACCGATCTACATTGAATTTGAGAGTAACTTTTATTCCCGCTAAAAGTTTGGGTTTTTGGGTATATCAACCATTTACACCCCCTCTGGTTGGCTTAGTTTTTGTGATTCGATCTTAAAAAAAGGAGCTACCCATTGCAAATTAAGGACAAACTGCATATTTGAGGTTGAGGCAAACCCGCTAAATCTCTGCAGAAAATACCCGAAATCCTTCAGTTCTCGTCTCGATCTGTTTCCCAGACGAAAGCCTCTGGCTGTTGCAGCAGCTAGCAGCAAGGATTTACGGTAGCAGCAGCAAGCATGCATCAAGCATCATTGGCAGCAGCAACTCAGCGGGTAAGGAACTGAGTCTAAACCAAGTCTAGGCGATTGATTAGTAGTTCGATTTTCATTAGACTTTATCTTTTTAACTAACAGAAAAAAAAATAAAAAAAGATGGAAAATGAGAGATCGATAGCGCTGCTGTGCGCTTGTGCCGCTTGCTGTCCTCTGCTCAGTTCCTTACCTGCTGAGTTGCTGCTGCCAAACCAAGTCTAGGCTCAGAGTTATTAATTTCGAGGCTTTCTATTTGAAGTGGCAAAATATCCGTACATTGCAACGGGTGAAGATAATTTTAATACATTGAATAAGATGGTGCCTAAAAATAACAAAGTAGGAATCATGCAGCTGTTTCCATGTTTTTTTGTGTTGCATGGGAACCTAAGCTTATACGGGTCGACCCTACGCTCTATTTCACGGTATCAGCATATAGTACTTCGTGATCTAATTTTGTTAAAACAAGAGAAGAGGGAAAAAAATCTACATTTATAGTATCATAAATCGATTATGCATGTAATAAACAAACACATTAATCCTTTTATTATTTTTTTCGAGTTCAATACATCAATTAGTCACATGCAATTAAAACAAACACTATTCAAATCATGTCTACCTTTTGGATCCCCTCCAGACAAAGGTCACACATATATTTTTTTCTCCTATAAATACTAATTAGCCAAAAAAAAAACTGATAACCGGTGTCGATGATCGGTAATTTTTGAAGTCACCACAGATGTCTTGGTGTCAACGGATAAGTCACTTATAAATGAAAGAATAATTAGCCGTAAATTTGAGCACCCATGTCAAATTTAGTATTTAAACACGGGTTGACTGATTCAACCACAAGGAAGCTAACTAGTTGAACTACGCTTACTTTGCAATGCTACCAGTTTATTTCTAGTGGAATATATTTTGACACTATATGATATCGGTGATTACATGCAACACAATTTGCCATGACAAAAGAATTATTTTTGATAGACCCACAAATAGGTAATAAGAATAAAACAATACAAAGAACCGTAAAAACTTTTCTAATTTTAACCTAGAAACTCTAAGGACTTAGTCTTGTTTTAATATGGTTCCAGTCCTTTTGCCTATCAGCTAACATTATTCATTTTGTATTTTTTACATGGACTTCTTTTTTTCAAATAAATAGTTTCTGCCCGTGCACCCCAAGGGCCCACCTTGGGAGAGACAGCCCAGTAGCCCACGGCATGGCTTTCAAGCAGCAGCACCAGACCGAGGCCCAAGCGACCTAACATATGTTGCCGACTTCTATACGGACGGGTAGACGTCCAAGTCAAAAAAAAAAAAAATCCGTATTAGAAGCGGCTTGACGGACGAAAAGTCGAAAAAAGATGTGTAAACGAGGTGATGAGTTTTTAAAATGTACTGGCAAAAATGCCCGTACGTTGCAACAGAAAGAAAAAACAAAAAAGATGAATTAAAACATATTAAATTCTAATTAAATGAAATACAAACTTTCTAGAATATTTAGGTATTTTTTAAGCAGGTAGGTATATAATTAAATTAATTTACAAGTAAAGTAAGTGTGAGGAATAAAATGATATGGTAGGATTTAATTTTTATTAAATTCTCCATATTAATTACACTTTTTGAAATTTTCTTCAAATTTATAGAGATTAATTGCTAATTTTGATAATGCAAATATTATTTTAGTATTTATTTAAATAAAAATCTAAATAAATATCCTTCTTCTCTGTGGACCATTTTCAGCCCATTTTCTTCCTCAGCCAGCAAGCGACCAAAGTCTAATTAATATCCTCATATTCCTCCTTTCACTTGCCATGTGAGCCGTAACCAGAAATGTGGTGCGGTCCGGTGATGCAGGCCAGCCCAACACGATCGATCGATCTGAGCTGTTCGTTTTGATGGACGGCTCGGATCGGTTCCAAATCAATTAAAACCATAACACTAACCCTCCCCCCTCCCCCGACCGGCTCTCCCATCCCCCATCCCCCCTCCCACCATCGGCCGCCTCCCCGCCCGACGCCGAGAAAGCTAATCGGCGAATAGTCACGCGCCCGCCACCCCGCGCGGTGCGCGCGCGGAGAGACCAGGCGCTGACACGTGTGTGATTTTTTCCTTTTTCTGGTTTTTTCTTTCCCCTTTTTTGTGGTTTTCTGTTCCGGTTTTTTCTTTCTGTTTTTTTATGTTTTTTTGCACTTCTGGTATTTAACATATACATATACAAACTATGTATACACACAGATACAAACTTTATATACGCATATACAAACTTATTTTTACATGCGTATACAAACTTTGTATACATGTATTTTTGGGTTTTTATGCGTACGTATACTAATTTTGTATACATGTATACAAAGTTTATATGCACGTATACAAAGTTTGTATACACGTATTTTTTAAATTTTTTATACGTTCGTACACAAACTTTATATACATGTGTATATTTTTTATACATTACAAGTGTATACATACAAAAAAAAATTATATACACACACGCGCATGTATATACTATATATACATACGTATACAAAGTTTATACGTATGTATATATAGTATATACTATACTACATATAGCAGTATGTATAGTAGTATAGACTAGAGGGGGGGCAGCTGATCGCGCGGTGCTCCGCTCGCGACCAGTCGCGTATCAGCGCCCCCCGCCCGATGTCGCCTCTCCCCTCTCCCCTCCAGCGGCGCCGCTCCCTCTCCCCTCCCTCTACCCTCCGGCGGCGCTGCTCAGTCTCCCCCTCTCCCTCCTGTCTCGCCGGCACAGCGCGGCGACAGTGGGGTGCGGCAGAGATGGCGGCGACGGCCGTCCCTCCCCCTCTACCTCTCCACGTCGGCCTCGACGGCCGTCCCTCCATCTCGACAACGGTGCCCTCTCCACCCTCAAGATCCGGCAGTGCCCTCCCAACGGCGGTGTCAGCGGCGACGACGGCGTCAGTTGCGTCCGCAGGTAGATCCATCGGTGGTGGCGATCCAGCAGCGGCGGCTCTCTCCGCGGCCTCTATTCTCCCTCCAGTGGCGCCCCGTGGTCGGATCCAATGGTGACAACAGCATTGGCGGCTTCCCAGTGATGTTTTAGTTTTCTTCCTGTTCTTTTTCTCAATCGCTTGATTGTCCGATTAGATTTTGTATTTTTTTTTGGCT